CTCACCTGACTTTGAGATCTTAGGCTGGTCCAGGACTGATTCGGAACAGAAAGATCTTGACAGACTTGAACATTGGGCGCTATCTAACAAAATGAAATTCAACAGTGAAAAAAGCGAAATGCACAGGTACCGTCTATGTGGTACCTTGCTCAATAGTAGTAACTGTGAGAGGGATCTTGGAGTCCTAGTGGACAATCATTTAGATAGGAGCCAGCAGTGTGCAGCAGCTGCCAAAAAAGCCAACACAGTTCTGGGCTGCATAAACAGAGGGATAGAATCAAGATCATCTGAAGTGTTAATACCACTTTATAATGCCTTGGTAAGGCCACACTTGGAATACTGCATCCAGTTTCTGTCGCCACAATGTAAAAAAGATGTAGAGACTCTAGAAAGAGTGCAGAGAAGAGCAACAAAGATGATTAGGGGACTGGAGGCTAAAACATATGAAGAACGGTTGCAGGAACTGGGTATGCCTAGTTTAATGAAAAGAAGGACTAGGGGAGACATGATAGCAGTGTTCCAATATCTCAGGGGCTGCCCCAAAGAAGAGGGTTCTCCAAAGCACCTGAGGGTAGAACAAGAAGCAATGGGTGGAAACTAATCAAGGAGAGAAGCAACTTAGAACTAAGGAGAAATTTCCTGACAGTTAGAACAATTAATCAGTGGAACAACTTGCCTGCAGAAGTTGTAAATGCTCCAACACTGGAAATTTTTAAGAAGATGTTGGATAACCATTTGTCTGCAGTGGTGTAGGGTTTCCTGCCTGGGCAGGGGGTTGGACTAGAAGATCTCCAAGGTCCCTTCCAACTCTGTTATTCTATTTCTATTTCTATTGGTGCAAAGCCTTCACTACAAGCACCTTAAGAGGGATGCACCCTTCTCAGATGTAGTTGGTGGGAGAGCGGCTGGAGGCCCAAATAGGAAAAATGCTCCAGGATCAACCGTGTCAGGAGCAGGCAAACTACTGCTATTTTCAAAGACTTTTCTATTTCAAAAACCATTTGGAGAGATTTCTCATAAGAGTTGCATTATTCTGTCTGTCATCTTCATTACAGGATATAATTTGTTCTCAGGTCTAAAATTGTCCTCTGAAAGAGACGCGTTGTTTTCAAAAGACCTAGTTGATTTGCCAGTCTGCCTCAGCAAATATAATAGGTTTTCTTCGGAGAAAACAGGTGCCATTTTTTTCAGCCATTACCTAAATACATAGAAGACAGAATAACAAAGTTGGAAGGGGCATTGGAGATCTTCTAGTCCAATCCTCTGCTCAAGCAGGAGCCCCTACACAATTCCAGACAAGTATCCGTCCATTTTTTTCTTAAAAACCTCCAGCGATGGAGCACCCATAACTTCTGAAGGCCAGCTGTTCCACTGGCTCATTGCTCTCACTGTCAGGAAATTTTTCCTTAGTGCTAGGTTGCTTCTCTCCTTAATTAATTCTCATCCATTGCTTCTTGTCCTGCCTTCAGGTGCTTTGGAGAACAGGTTGTTGACCCCCTCTTCTCTATGACCCCCTTCTCAAATACTAGAAGACTGCTATTGTATCACCTTCTCTTCCTTAGACTAGACATACCCAGTTCCTGCAAACGTTCGTTGTAGTTTAGCCTCCAGTCCCTTTATAATCTTTTCTGCTCTTTTCTGCACTTTCCAGAACCTCAGCATCTTTTAAGCATCACAGTGAACAAAACTGGACGCAGTATCCCAAGTGTGATCTCACCAGTGTCATATAAAGCAGTACTATCATTTCTCGTGACCATGAAACTACCCTTCTGTTGGTGCAGCCCAGGACTGTATTGGCTTTTTTGGTAGCTGTAGCACATTTCTGGCTCATACCAAAGTATTGGCAAGGGTCTTGCCGGACCTGAACACTGGGCCCTATCCAACAAAATGCAATTCAATGGTAAATGGTAGGTTTTACACGGAGGCAAGAAAAACCAAATGCACAGGTACAGAATAGGTGGAGACTGTGACAATTGTGAGTGGGATCTAGGAGTCCTAGTGGACAATTACTTAAGTATGAGCCAGAAGTGTGCTGCGACTGCCAGAAAAGCAAAGGCAGTCCTAGGCTGCATCATCAGATAGTGTAAGACCTGCCCGAAAACAATAATTTAGGAAAGCAGACTCTCGACTCCAATTGATTGAAGTAAAAAGAACTTTTACTAAAGCTGTTGGTTGCAGGAGGGTGAGGTGGGATCTGAAGTTTCTGCTCATCAATACAAAGAGCCAAACCCAATATTCCCCATCCCTCCGCCCCCCCAATGTCTGCTCTGGTGCCACCCAATCCAGGATCACCACAATGTTGTGGCCAACTCTGAGTTGTTTAGGTTGCTGGAATTTCACACCCAAGGCAAGTGGCCTTGAAGATGCCCAGTGTAACTGGTACAAACAGCTCTGGTCTTATTCACGTCACCTCCCCCTCCCCAATTCCCACCATTAGATACATAGGTATGGATTGCCGCAAATGCCTCCCCCATCCCTCCACCTTTAATGGCAGCAAAGCACCAGGCCGACGATGGAGATCCTGACAGATAGTATCAAGATTACATGAAATGATAATGCCACTGCATTGGTGAGCCCACATAAGGAATACTTCATCCAGTCTCGGTCACCACGATACAAAAAAGATGTTGAGATTCTAGAAAGAGGGCAGAGAAGAGCAAGAAAGATGGTTACGGGACAGGGGGCTAAAACAATGAATGGTTGCTGGAACTAGGTATGTCTATAACAAAGAGTAGGATTAGGGGTGACATTATAGCAGTCTTCCAATATTTGAGGCCTATCATAGAGAAGAGAGGGTTAAAATATTCTTCAAAGCACCTCCGGGCACATCAAGAAATAATGGGTGGAAGTTTGTTAGAGATCTAACCTAGAATTAAGGAGAAATTTCCTGACACTGAGAACAATTAATCAATGGAAAGCCTTGCCTCCAGAAATTGTGGGGGCTCCATCGTTGGAGGTTTCAAGAAGAGATTAAACAGTCATTTGTCTGGAATGACTGGAATGAAGGACTAGAGTCTCCCACTTGAGGAGGAAGTTGGACAAGAAGACCTCCAAGGCTCTTTCAACTCTGTTATTCTGTAATTCTACAGTACTCAGCCATGATCATTTTGTTGCTCTATTTAGATAAGAAAATATCTCTGAAATGATGAGTCAATGGGGCACAGGTTGTCTGTTGTCCTATAAAAGTAAAAAAGGGATCCCTGTGAATTTTACTCCGCCAGTCGTTGCCAACTCTAGGGGTGGTGCTCCTTTCCATTTCAAGGCCATTGAGCCAGTGCTGTCTGAAGGCATTTCTGTGGTCATGTGGCCAGCATGATGTCATGGAGCACTGTTAACTTCCCACTGAAGTGGTACCTATTTATCAACTGATGTTTGCATGTTTCAAATTGCTGGATGGGCAAGAGCTAAGGTGAGGATGGGAGCTCACCCCATCATGCATGGAGCTCAAGTCTCGAACCTGGGCTGCTGGCTTTCCATCCGACAAGCCCAGTGCCTTAACTGCTGATCTACCACACCACCCCTATTATCATATAAAAGATAAGCGCTATGTCAATCACCTCAAGACATCTGACTGATAAATCAAGTTCAAATGTCCTTTCAAGGACATTTCTTTAGGCATCTGAGATCTCTGTACCGTAACTTGAATAGACTCAACAGCATTTTGGCTCACACTTTGGTCAATTTTGTTGACTCTGCCGTCATGGCCTTCAGGAATCATTCAGAATTTGTCTTGATGAATTTAATAACAGCAAATTTTGAAAAACCAAATGAACTTTTTGGTTTTCACAGTTCTGATGCTGAAGAACTCAACCCCAAATACAATTAAAATCCAAAGTGTCCCTCTATTGTCAGATGAAAAACAAAATCACAGGCGTCTCACTTCAGGATTTGGTAGATGGTCTCTGAACCAATTGTTGGGAATTGTTAGTCTTTATTTGTCATACAAATAGAGGAGGAACCTCTCTCCAGTCAACCGTCTGCAGAATTGTACAAAACGTTCATTAAATATAAAACAGCTTTTACTGAGAGTACATCCATTTCACAGGCTCTCACACTCTTTATATATTAAATTAATATTTCAACTATACAATATTTACAGTTAGTTAGGAAAAAATATCATTTATGATGATTAAAAAATAATAGTCCCGTAAATAATTAACCATATAAACCACTCAAGTTCTTACCAGAAGGAAGCTGGCAAGAATCACTGAATCAGCTCTAAAACACCCAGCTACATTTCTAACAGATTAGGTTTTCTTGCTTCCAGTTGGAAGGCTGTCTGATCAACTGGCTCCCTGGTTAAAGAACAAACTGACATTCTTACAGGCCAGTATTAACCAAGGTCAAACTGTACATTTGGAACAATTAGAGGATCAAAATGGCGATGGAGAATTCTGGATCTCAAGTCAGTCCTCTACATCAGGGGTCTCCAACCTTGGCAACTTTAAGACTTGTGGTCTTCAACTCCCAGTTCCTCAGCCAGTTTTGGGAATTGAAGCCCACAAGTCTTAAATTTGCCAAGGTTGGAGACCCCTGCTCTACATAACTCTGAGGACAGCCAGGAGATAGGAGATGCCAAGAGGAAGTTTCTGGCTTTCTGTGGCCTTTCTGGTATGGTGTGCTGAGTTTGGGAGATCTTAGGTGGCTTCTATCTTCTCATGTAGCGTTTAGAGGTCGAAGGCTCTTCCTTCCCCTTCCAGACCACCAATTAGCAGCTTCTGAGCATTTGGGGATTCATCCTCCTGAGCTTCATCAAGTTCTGAGGGTGACCTTGGATGTGGAGTGGATGGATGAAGAAGGGCAGGTTGTGCTCAGCGTTTTCTTCGACTGGTTTGTTTCTGAGAATTTGGAGCTGCCCAAGCTGCTATTTCACTCAGGTGACCAGAGGGGATCTACAGATGGATTGACTGGTGTGATCAGTGTTTTCTGCTGAATTATTTGCAGATTACTGTTAAAAGTAGTTTTTCCTCCCTTTATGTGTCCCCGTCCCCCGTCCCCCCCCCCATGGGCCTTGGCAGCGTCTAAGAGGAAATACAGAAAAGGAGGTCCTGGCAGATCACAAGATTGGCTAAGTGGAGAAATGATATGGTGCCCTTGCTCAGGAGGATCCCCAAAACACAGAACACACCTTTTCCACACACGGCAGAATGCTCTCTGGCTACGGTAGTTCTCAGGCACTTCCTTCTTTGGAGGTCATTTCCAAAGCAATTGCTTTAATTCTTGGCTTGACTTGGCTTTCACTTCCTTCGTGGTCAAATTCTCCGAATGCAGGCATGTACTTGTGCTCCTACGCAGGGTGTAACAGCCATGCTGTGTCTGGGAAGTGGAGGGGCCAGCCTGAAGAAAGCTCTCCGTCTCTCTCCTGCCTCAGCAGCCCAGAGAATTCTGCGGTTCCAGTGCCATCCCTTTCCCTTTGTCCTACTTCCCACCATAAGGATGGAGGTCCTGAAACACTTGAGATGAACAAGATCGTAGACAGACAGGCTAATCTTCCCTAATCCTCCTCTTTGTCAACCCTAGCATTAAAGGCTGACTGTCGTCTCCCCAAAACAGTCAGCATCAAATGAAATGTGAGCTACAAAAGAGTAGAGGTTTCCCTCAATTCCCTGGGATGGTTTTAAGACCCAAAGATTTTGCACATCTTAACAACCTGCAACCCTTGATCCAGGTACCTGGACGGAACCTTAAATTATGCTGAAGGAAAAAAAAAGCAGGAAGTCTGGGAATTCCTAACTTTTTCTCCATTGTCTTGATTCTTATAATTACTGGGGGATTCTCATTAGCTGACAGATTAGACTCCTGGAAAAAAGAATGTTCCCTCCACTTAAGCAAAAGAGGACAAAGGCCTGGAATAATTTCAATCCCTTTTGGCCTTAAACCGCTGAAGAGATGGAAGTCAGGATGAAAAGAGGATCAGAGCAGCAAAGAAGACATCATGGGCACCATGCCCAAGATGCAACCTCCGGCTCTTTTTCGTACACGTGTTCTGATCTATCCCTCTTTCTCCGTCAAGTGCAGTATTAAAAACTTCTCACCCGCTGAAGTGCCTCTGACACACAGAGCTCCTCTTTCCTTTCTCCAAGACCACATCATGCTTAAACATGAGACCAGCCCACCATCTTTGACTTCATTCCACCTCTGCTACTCTTCCCCTGGTTCTTCCCAGGTATTGCACCGCACAGGTATACATACCTGCTAAGGAAACAGTGATTGCAATTAAAAAGCTGCAAAGAGGTACAGGTAGTCCTCAACCTACAGTCACTAAGTGGACAGTTGTAACTTGAGGACTAACCTGTATTTTGTGCTGAGACGGGGCCTAATACTGATTCCCCAATTCCCAACCCTCTCAAAACAGATGAGGATATTTTTCAAAGGCTGCAGGAAAGTGGCTTGGATTTGGGATGGTAGTTCCTGACCCCAAAACACCGTACCTGCTACATCTGAGGACAGCCCTCAGCAAAGCAGACGAAGCCTTTAAAGCAGGGCTGTCAAACTCGATTTCATTCAAGGCTGCATCAGGGTTGTGTTTGACCTTGGGGGGGGGGGCAGGGCAGGGAAGGCATGACCAGCTCAATGTCACTCGTGTCAGGGGCACCTGTGGTGGGCCGGATGGGGCCGGGGGGATCCTCCTGCAGCCCTCTGCCAGTGAAAGTGGAGCTTTGTTTTCGCTGGCAGAGGCACTGTGGGCAGGTCCTGCGCTATTTCCAGGGCGGCCCCGCTGGCGAGGTCTAAGCACCCCACGGGCCAGATCGGGCCTGTGGGCCTTTGCTTTGACACCCCTGCTTTAAAAGGTTTTCAAAGCTGGCTTTCCCTGACTTAGGTGGATTGAGAGACTCCCCAGAAGATCATGAGAAGTTTTGCAGGATCAGTCCAGATTATCGAACATCTTGTCCTCACGATAACCAGAGGCAAACTGAGAACCCCAAAGCAGGCAGGAGCTCAGGAGCTTCTTCACAATTGTGTCTTTTTGTAAATGGTGTTGAAAGAATCCTTCTAACCCTGGAGATAATTTATGGAGAAGCAACCCTTAGCAAAAAGCTTAACCTCTGGATCATGTTGCTGAATCATAACACAGGAACATGCTTGTTAGGAAGACTTGGATCTCATGTTCCTTGAAACAAAGAAGCAAAGGGAAAATTAAAGGGTGGAGGGTGCACTCCATGAAACAAAGGATCAGTTCCAACATTCTGCTCCAACAGCATTCCAACTTGAAGTCTACCCATCTGGTGGCATCCTTCAGATCTTGGTTTCTGGTCCGCACTGATTGAACACTGGGAAAGAATCACGAATCCTGACCAGCTCCATGGCACAGAGATGACCAAAGACCTTGTTGTACCAGTCTGGAGACCTCCCTCTAGTAATGTAAAAAGCAGGGAATTAGCAACAGAATAATATAGAGATGGAAAGGATCTTGGAGCTCTTCTAGTCCAGCTCCCTGCTCAAGCAGGAGACACTATACCAGTGTTTCTCAGCCTTGGGAGCTTGAAGATGGGTGGACTATGAGCACCTACAGCAGTGCTTCTCAACCTTGGAAGCTTGAAGATGGGTGGACTTTTTTTTTTTAGTATAGTAGTATAGTTTATTGAATAGCCCGAAGGCCTTTTCAAACAAAACAGAAGAGAAAAAGGGAAAAAGATAAAACAGTTACAAAAATAGCAATCTAAAAATATATGATAGATGACATTAAAATTTTACCATATCAAATTTCAATAGCTAAGTTGCCAAGACTAGAAGACTAGATAACCCAAATAGGATAGCTCCTCTCTAACTGAGCTCATCTTTCTTACAATCGATAAAATTTTCCTTGATATAACTGGCTCGTATTGCCGTCAACCTTTTAAGGTATCGAGTGATTGCTCTTACCAGGGGAGGAGAGTCAGCCCTCAACAGAAATGCTAATTTTTGGCTTATATTCCAGTGGGGAAATTTATTTATAATTGGGGACAGATATTGATTTCTAACTTCCTGATAGAGACTACATTCGAATATTATATGCGCCGTGTCCTCCACGACGTTTACCCCACATATGCATATTCTTTTGTCATACGGGATTTTCCGATAACCGCCGAATCTAACGTTGGTATCTAGAAGTTCGAATCTAAACTTAACAAATAACTGTCTCTCCACTGATGGCATTTCTAAATGTAAATACTTTTCCAGAGTGAAAGTTGTTTTAACTGCTGTCAGTTTACTACAATTAAATTAAGTTGCAAAATCCTGGCCTTGCTTTGAATAGGTTATCTTGGGGAAATATTTGTGCCCAGCAAGATTTCCCCATATTTCAAGATTGGACTGAAAAGCAACAGGTTTAACTGAAGGTATTTTCTGTCTCTGTGGTGTAAACAATATTCCCTCATCTGTTGCTCTCAACCCTCAACTTCAATCATAGCTAGCCAGTGCAGGAATTACGGCATTGAAACCAGCACGTCTGGACAGCAGCAGCTTGTAGAAGTCCTGTTAGACCTACCATGATATTGTCACCCTTTGGACTGAGAAATTATCTTGGCTAAGCAAATTGGAACGGTCTTGGCTTTTTGTGTTGCTGAAAGCTAAACCCTTTTATGGGGGTAGAGGCCAAAGGGATGCCCATCTCCCTGCCATTAAATGTGGGAGAGCTGGCTTGAATTCTTACCGGAGATCAGTTTGACAGATGTGTGTCACTCTGGAGTGTCCCGTTCCACAAGGCTCCATCAGGTACTGGGAGGTGAGCACCGTGGCCCTGACTCCAGCTTCCAGTGGCAACTTCTGATGCTCCAAAGAGAAGGAGACCAGGAGGCAACTCCCACGAGGCAGGCCTGTCCGCCACGACCTAGAAAAGGAATCTTGGCTCAGGTATGACTAAAGGTGTCTGCTCCTTCCAGTCTCAAGAGGCTACCCAAGGAAGCAACTGATGGGAGAGCTGCTGGGATCCTCGGGGCAAGAACAGGCAGGCCCTGATGGCTTGCTTTTGGCCCAGAGGACAGACAGAATCCGAGAAAGTCTAGAATTATTGCCAGCGCTAAATTTGTTCAAAAGTCAAGGACAATGTTAGGAGGCTTTGCTCCAGTTTGGACATTAAAGAGTCACCTTTTCAACTAACACTGAAGCTCTGATTCTAACTTTCAACCAAGCTAGGCTGAATATCAACCTGGCTATAGAGCCTGGTCACCACTTATCGCAAAAGCACTGAAAAACTAGGTGGCAATTCTGAATTGATAGGGAAAAAAGAAGGGCTTTGCGTCCAAAGAGAAACAGACCTAAATAGCAAATTTAAAAAAATTAGCAGGCAGACGGGAGCTGGCACACTATATGATGAGCCCAAACTATGTGGAGCTGCCAGAGAGAGAAGGAGTAGCCTAGAACTGCATCTCACAGCCACTTCTAATCACTGCAGCCCAAAATCGAGAGAAGTGGCATGAACCTGGAAACGTTGCATGAGGGAGCAAAGGAAGGCTGCAAGCTGAAGCCCAGGAACTCTCAGCTGCTTCCCAAAGGCTGAGGGCATCCTCAACTGCAGCTAAAAAGATCTAGGCAAAGGATTAGTGCGGAAAGCGATGGGATCAGAGAGCCGGAGATGGGACACGGTGTTTGTTTATGGAGATTTCCCCTCTAGAGTTCCTCACCTGAGGACCACAAAGTCCCGCCGTGGGTGTGGAGCCATGCTATCGGTCACATAATGGTAGACTTCGGTGTTCTTGTCCAGGGCCTCCACCACGTGGCCCTGCAGAAGGTCCTCATCCCAAAAGTGCCGCTCCCTGAGAATCCGCTTGAGCACCACGTGAGGTGGTGCAGCCACTTCGGTGGAGACCTTCCAGAGCCGCAGGGGATGCCCATCCTCCACCTGGATATCACAAAGACGTTGTTATTGCTTAGGGCCAGGTAGTGTCCAAGTGGCAGAGCCACAGTGAAGTTTCAATCACTTCTTGTGTGTTTTTATTGGTGTTTGGTCTTGGACAGGACAAAGGTGGATTCAGCCTATGTGAATACTGAGGAGAATAAGCATGTGGCCCTGGGCCAGACTGTTTGATGGTGCCACCTTAGTTGCTCTCCTCTGAACTTTTTCCAAAGTCTCAACATCTTTTTTGTAGCATGGTGACCAAAATTGGTTGAAGTATTCCAGGTGTGGCCTTACTAGGGTTTTATAAAGCGGTAGTAACACTTCACGTGACCTTGATTCTATGCCTCTCTTGATACAATCCAGGATTGTATTAGTCTTTTTGGCTGCTGCTTCACATTGCTGGTTTATATTCAAGATGTTGGCAAAAGATCTGCCTTGGTATTAAAAATTACCAAAAGATGCATTTTTGCCTACCAACCAGGGGTGGGTTCTAAATTTTTTTACTATCGGTTCTGTGGGCGTGGCTTATTTTGTGGGCGTGGTTTGATGGTCATGTGACAATTCTTTAGGATTTAGCAGAGGTACTGGTCTACCAGGCTTTTAACTGCTTGCAGAGCTGTACCGGTCTACTCATTCCTTTTTGGAGGCACCGGTCTACCCATTTGTTCTTGGAGCTTCCTGGTCTACCACCACACTGCCTTTTAACACTGATCAGCTGTAGGGTGGTCCTTTGAAGCCCCGCAGCAAGAGTTTAAACAGTGTTTTTTCCTTCTAGCCAATCAGCTGGGACTCGGGAGGCAGCAATAGATTGGGGGTGGGGCCAAATAAAAGGTAAGAATAACGCGGGAGGGTGTGGGGGTGTGTGTGGGCGGGCCCAGCTCCCGAACAAAGAGAACCGGTTCGGTGACGTCATATTGTCACCGCTACCATCTCGGCCAAACCGGGCCGAACCGGGAGGAACCCACCACTGCTACCAACGAATGGTGAAACAACAGGAAAATCATCCTAAAACAGACACACAACTATCATGGATGGCTACCTAGAGAAACAGTCCAATGGTTGCCCAGGGGATACATCAATAACTCGGAAAGCGGCTGTAAGGCTTCCCTTGGCCCCCTCTTACCTTCTTGCACGAGAGCTCCGTGTTTTGGGGGCCAAGCGTGCCGATCCAGCCTTTGAAGTGTTCGGATGACTCCTTCAGCAGGCCTCGAATGCTGGCCTCCAAGACTGGGTGGGAATCCTGGATCTCTCCTTGCAGGTTTTGCTCCATCAGCTCAGGTAAGGAGAGCGGCTGAGCATCAGCCAAGAGGTAGGAGCTGCTGAGCTGCAGTATCATGTCTTGGGGGATCTGGAGAAAGGAAGAGGATCCTTTGAGTGAGTATACAAATGAGGACAAACATCTGCTTACATCAAATGGCAAAGCTCTCCCTGTCCAGACGGATTCTTCTGGTGCTCACTGTTTTTACTAGAGGGCGGGGATGTTTGGTGCTGGGAGAAGTGGAATTAAAGAGAAGAGGACAATCACCAGCAAGAAGCAGGGATTCTGTTACATTGGCATTGGGGCACTATTGGAAGAATAGAATGAATGAGCTGGAAGGGACCTTCCTTGGAAGTCTTCTAGTCCAGCCCACTGCTCTGGCAGGAGAACCTTTATCATCTGAGACAAGCGACTGTCTAGAGACTCTTCTTAAAAACCTCCAGTGATTTCTGAAGGCAAGCTGTTCCACTGGTTAATTGTCCTCACTTTTAGGAAGTTTCTCCTTAATTCCAGACTGCTTCTCTCTTTGGTTAGTTTCCAACCATTGTTTCTTGTCCTGCCTTCTGGTGTTTTGGAGAATAATTTGACCCCCTCTTCTTTGTGGCAGCCCCTCAAATACTGGAATACTGCTATCATGTCACCCCTAATTCTTCTTTTCTTTAGACTTGAAAGATCAAGCTAGGGATAGATCATGTTGGAGAAAATATACATTTGCGATTGCTAAGCATTGATAACAACTTGATAGAATGTGTTTGATTACATAAAGCTTTTTATGTTGATTTGCTATCCTAAGTATACTCTTATTTTGCATGGTTCTGTTTTTTTTTTTAAATTTTACTGTAAAACATTCTATAAACTGAAGTTGGAAGCAGTAGAAAAGTATATTATTATTATTATTATTATTATTATTATTATTATTATTATTATTATTATTATTATTATTTAAAAATCATCTGAGGGAATCTGGAGCCCTCCAGGTTTGCAACATCCAGAACTCCTTTGGGGTCCTACTTATGTCAGCCCTTTAAAGGCAGATCAGACAAGAAATCCAATTGATCATATAGATCAATACTACTTTTATTGTATAACAATAGCAATAGCACTTAGAACTTCTATACCGCTTCACAGAGCTTTCCAGACCTTTCTAAGCAGTGTACAGAGTCAATCTGGGTCCTCATTTTACCCACCTCAGAAGGATGGAAGGCTGAGTCAACCTTGAGCCTGGTGGGATTTGAACTGCCAAATTGCAGGCAGGTGGCAGGCAGGCAGAAGTAGCCTGCAGTACTGCACTCTAACCACTGCGCCACAGCAGCTCTTTAATACAGTATAACTTTAATAACAGACTTTTTCAAGTATGAAAGCACTCAACCCCTCCCTCCCTTTATCTTAGTGAGAAGTGGGGGCAAGCTCAGTTCTCCTTAGCTGACCGCTCTCTTGGGAGGGGCTCTTCCTTCTGCCCCTCAAGGTCATGCCCTCTGCAACCGGCTAGAATTCTGGGCGCTCCAGGCCTCCTGAGCTAAAGAACATGGAAAGCAAGCAAGTGGCACCTGGAACAGCTTCTTGCAGTTGGCAATCATGTGGGAGAGGCCTTGGGTGGCCGCCATGTTTTCATTCAGGTCTTTTTGGTCTGGTTTCCCCACAGTGCCCCTCCTGTGAATCGACCTGCCATGAGGGGACAAAGAGAAGTCAGCAACGTCTGTGCTCGTAGTCGAGCCGTTCTAGCCACGGTCAGCAATGAGGGAGGATTAGGGGAAGTTCTCTTCTTCCAGGTTGGCTTCTTCCAAGCCAACAATGAATCCTCCACCAGTGTCACCAGCAGATAGGACCTGCGTCAATGCCTACTGCCAGTTCTTATTTTTCCAGGATTCTAAGTGTTTTATCTAAGAAAAACTCTGATAACCCGCCATTAACTTATAAGTATGATAAATGTCAGTTTGGCCTCCTTAAGGGTTGCACAGCTATAGATTTCTGATTTTAATTCATGTCTAAAATTATTAATACATATTCAGGGGGCCTTTCAACATAAGACTCTCAGATGATAGACCTTTTCTTTTTCTCTCTCTTTTGGAAAAACGTATTAGAAACTGTACAAACGCAGCGTGAAAACTCAGGTAGTCAGCACAAAAATCACACTGCTTTCCAAACAGAAACAGAGAGTGGGGGTCCAGGACAACTCGCCACAGCCATCTGGGTGCAGCCATCTTGGTGTGGTCCACTTACGCGGAATAATTTGCTGCGGGAAATCCACATGGGATAACTCAACACGATAAATGTTATCTGCCACTGTTTCTTCTACATCAGGGGTGTCAAACTCAATTTCATTGAGGGCCACATCAGAGTTGTGTTTGACCTCAGGAGGGGGGGGCGGGGTGTGTGTGACCAGCTCGACGTCACTCCTGTCGGGGGCACCTGTGGTGGCCCAAGCACTCTGCCAGCGAAAACAGGTTCCTGAGCTTCGTTTTTGGCTGCAATGGCCTCTTGCAACCCTCTGCCGGTGGAAACGGAGCTTGGGAGGGCCGCACGCGGCCCTCCCAAGCTCCGCTTCCACCGGCAGAGGGTTGCAGGAGGCCATTGCAGCTGAAAACCGAGCTTGGGAACCTGTTTTCGCTGGCAGAAGCACCGCAGGCCGGTCCTTCATTGTTTCAGGGAGGCCCTGCAGGCCAGATCTAAGTATCCTGTGGGCCGAATCCGGCCCCTGGGCCTTGAGTTTAACCCCCCTGTTCTACATTATTTCCATGTTTGTCAATGGAAATACCATTGAAGATTTATCCTGCATGGAATTGTCCCGTGGTCAGTTGGCTGCAGCGAGATGGCCATAGTGAGTAATCCCATTCTGTGGAAAATGGCATGTAACAGCATGAATTTAAGCCTTATTCTCTTTATAAACTGTTTCTGGGTTTTTTTTTAAAAAAATCATAGAGTAAGAAAGAATTTTGTAAATGTACTCATATTCGCTGCAAAGAAAATGGAAAATTTCCTTCCTTCCTTTCTTCCTTCTTTCCTTCCTTCCTTCCTCCCTCCCTTTGTTTTTTGTTTTGTAAAACTTTGATAAAAATCTAAAAACAGTTTTGTAAAACTGTGATAAAAAATCACAGAGTAAGAAAGAATTTTGTAAATGTACTCATATTCGCTGCAAAGAAAATGGAAAACTTCCTTCCTTCCTTCCTTCCTTCCTTCCTTCCTTCCTTCCTTCCTTCCTTCCTTCCTCCCTCCCTCCCTCCCTCCTTCTTTTTTGTGTTTTGTAAAACTTTGATAAAAATCTATTTAAAAGAACAAAAACGGACACCTTGCTGCAGTTCTGCAGTAGTGACTCTCTGCAACCTCTAAAGTGCCATGCACCTGGGGTTTGAGCATCAGGTCTGACCTGCAGCTGGGAGATATCACCTCACCTTGGAGAAGCGCTCTCTTTCTTGGAGACGTTGAGGTGAAAAATGGAGGGGGCCAAGCACACGGCCAGGTTTCCCACCGTCATCTGGTTCTCCTCGGAAGAGGCAACATCGCTGAGAAAATAGAGCAACGTCTGCAAAACCTCCCGATTCTCATCCGGCATTAACATGATGGCGGCCTGGACAGCTTGCAGCCTCTGCTCTTTGGGCACAACTAGAAAGTTCAAGAAACAGAAATCAGTACCTGCGCTGTGGGGGACTAAATACTAACAGCAGCGGGAACTTGCTAGCATCCCATTGGACTGGAGGCGAAATGGTCCATCCCAGCCCTGCTCAGTCCTGCTCTGCTCTTCAGATCAGGACAGAGGACTTCCCATCCCTCCCCATGAGAAGAAATTCCATTTCCGCTTCTATCTCTGGTTTCTGAGATTGTGCCCAGTTTATTGGCAGATCTTTCCTCCTACTGAGTATAATAAAATTAAAAAAAAAGGTGTTTCCAATTCTTAATACATTTGGATATTCAACCAACAGATGAACGGGGGGGGGGGGGGGTTCTAGTGAGGTGGGCAAAACCCATTCAGTGAACCCATCTGTGGGATGACCATGCTTTCCCCAGCTGGTGGTGCAGTAAAACCAGCAGCACCAGAGCTGCAGAACAGGAGCTAAAGTTTATTATTTATTTATTTATTAATTCGATTTATATGCCGCCCTTCTCCGGAGACTCAGGGTGGCTTACAATGCATTAAGCAATAGCCTTCATACTTTTGTATATACCTGCTTAGTAGGGCTTTTGGCCCCCCCTAAGCGGTGTTGTTTTTTATACAAAGTCAGCTTATTGCCCCCACAATCCAGGTCCTCATTTTACCTACCTCGAAAGGATGGAAGGCTGAGTCAACCTTGAGCCTGGTGAGACTTGAACTTGCAGTAATTGCAGGCAGCTGGCAACTGAGTGCTACTTTAACAGCACTTAGTCCACTGTGCCACCAAAGCTCATCAGCTAAAGTTCAGCTAAAGTTCCAAATCATGGGTCTCCTCCTCCATCCCCCCACCATCCCCACCTCTACTCACACTGGTATATCTGCAGAAATGTATCTGTGAGCTTGCCGGTGAAGACCGGCTCTGGAAGATCACGGAAGTACTGCTTCAACAGGTCAGCCACATCATAGGCTGATTGCCCTTCGTAATTCACATAATCAGGAGAGGCTTCACTCATCTGCCTGAGGTTCTGGATCCGGGACTTTACACCAGATTTGCGGAAGATGCCAACCTGTGCAGGAAAGAGATATCAGGTAGGTGGACAACTCTGGATGTAAGAGCTTCAGTGCACAGGATGCCACCACAGACTGCAGCCACAGAGTATCTGCAGCTCAACCAATGTGCTCCAAGTCAGAAGCCCCAGCTGATTAAATGGCAGCTTCACCTCAGAAGGGAAGGCAGAGCTTTGGACTTTAGGTGAGTCCAAAGCTCTGCCAACCAGTGGCAGGAATAGCCAAAACCCCAGAAGACAGGCTCAAGATCCAGAAGGATCTTGAAAGATTTGAACACTCGATTCTATTAAACAAAATGGAATTCAAAGGGAGAGAAAATGGAAAGGACCTTGGAGGTCTTCGAGTCCAACCCCCTTCCCAAGCAGGAGACCCATTTCAGACAAGTGGCTGTCCAGTCTCTTCTTTAAAACCTGCAGTGATGGAGCTGCTGACAGACACTCTTGGCTCATATTTAAGTGATTGTCCACAAAAAACCAAATGTACAGGTACAGAATAGCTGGACCTCCTGGCTCAAGAGCAATAACTGCTAGAGAGAGTCTTAGTGGACAATCACTTAAATATGAGCCAGCAGTGTGCTTCAGTTGCCCAAAAAGCCAATGCAATCACGTGAAGTATTAATACCAATTAATAAAGCTTTAGTAAGACCGCACTTGGAACACTGCATCCAGTCTTGGTGACCACAATATAAAAAAGATGTTGAGATTCTGGAAAGAGTGCAGAAAAGAGCAACAAAAAAAAAGAGAGCTGGAGGGTAAAACATATGAAGGACGGTTGTAAGAATTGGGTATGTTTAATCTAGTGAAAAGAACGACTAGGGGTGACATGATAGCTGTGTTCCGATATTTGAGGAGCTGCCACAAAGGACGGGGGGGGGGGGGGCCAACTATTTTCCAAGCATAAGAAGGCCAGGCAAGAAGCAACGAAAGAAAATTAATCAAGGAGAGAAGCAACCTAAAACAAGTCATTCCACATGAATTGTTCCAGTTGTCAGGAAATTTCTCCTTAGACCTAGGTTGGGTCTCTCCTATCAGCCCTGAATCTACTTCCTTGTAATTTTAACTCAATGATTCTAGTCTTAAACTCAGGCTAGAGAATCCAGCACCTGTATGAAGAGAACCAATTTTCATACCGGGGATACGCTAATACATTTACATCAGCAGTGTGTTATAGGTAGTCCTTGACTTACAACAGTTTATTTAATGATTGTTCAAAGCCACAAGGACACTGAAAAAAGTGATCCATGACCAGTTCTCATACCCACAAACTCCACAGCATCCCTGTAGTCATGCAATCAAAACCTGGACGCCCAGTAACGGGTTCACACATCCATGACAATTGCAGTGTCCCGAGAACACACAATCTTCTCTTGCAACCCTCTGATAAGTCAAAGTTGAGATTCACTCAACAACTGCATCACCAATCCAACACTTGCAGCAACCCACCCAACACCGGTGGCAAGAAAGGTCGCAAAATGAGGCAATAGCCACCCTACAACTGTCTCACTTAGCAACAAAAATCTTGTGCTCAATTGTGGTCATAGGTTGAGGATTATTTAGCACTGTCTACAGGCCTTAACAAAGAAGAAATGCCAAGGAAATTAAAAGTGAATCCCATCGGGGGGGGGGAACCTCCACTTGTATATCAACAATGCCAGAGAGTTGTATTTCTTCAGCCTCCTGCTCTCTTTCCAACTTCCCATTTAACAATGCTTCGGCCCAGTCTGTGCAAAATTAGCTTTCAGATGGGATCATCTATAAATCTCAGTGGATTCAGGCCATGTATCAGCAAGTCTCAGCTTTGTTCTCCCACCCACCTCTGCTCCTCTACAGTATGGGAGCTTGTGCCCCATTATCACAGGATCAGGCCTTTCTCTGTCTCCTCAAACTAAAGGCAAAACAAAAGGAGAAATGTTCCCCCTTTTGCATTTGAGCATCCAAGAAGGGACAGGAAAGGAAAACGGGAAAGACAACGAAAAAGAAGGAAAGATGGGAAGAGAGCAAGAAAGGAAAAAGAAGGAAAGAGGGGAAGGAAGAAGAAAGGAGAATGAAGAGGGAAGGAAAAAGAAGGGAGGGAGGGAGGGAGGGAGGGAGGGAGGGAGGAAAGTCCTGCCTTAGCACTTGGGAAGGCTGCTCTGGTTTCGCCTTCCTCTGCTGGAGACATGGATTCCCCGAGCCCCGCCTAGGCCACCACAGGTGCCCCCAACACGAGTGACATTGAGCTGGCCACGCCCCCTCCCCCCCGTCAAACACAACCCTGTTGCGGCCCTCAATAAAATCGAGATTGACACCTCTGCACTACAGTATCTCTCACGTCCGTCCACGAGGACTCAAAATGACACAAATTTGATCTAACCGGGACCGCAGTGGTAACCCAGGCAAAGTCAAGGAGCAAAAGAGAATTCTTTGAAGCCTGGTTTTCCACCAACAAGTCCAAAAACAGACATATTGACACCTATCCGATCTACCAATCACTGAGAACGGAAGAACTGCACCAGCTTCACCAGCTGTTGGCTTCACCACCACCAGACTCAAAAGTAGCCAAACCAACAACACTAATTTACATCACACGGACGGTACTTAAAACCAAAGACCATGCCCTAGCAACAACATCCAGCCAATCAAGCAGTCTGAAGTCAGACCATGACTCAGAAATAGCCGAACAAACAACATCCACACCAATTTGCATCATACAGAAAAAAAGGTATTTAAAGACCAGTGTTCTGACAGACGAGCACAATTCAAAGCGCACTGACGATGTCTCCTCGAATGGTGACACAATGTTTGCAACCAAATTGCCAAGCTTGGAGCTCAAACCAACAACCTAACTATCAACCCAAGCTACTAATATTGTTCTGCCCCAGCTCCGGATTCCCGAGGATATTGACATACACCAACGGTCCTTATCAAATTTATTAAGTAGCAAGAATAAACCAAAGTTCGGCAAAGGTTGGCAACCAGCCCAGAAAACAAGATACAATAAGACTTTTCCAAAAATGCTCTGTGATAATTACAAGTTGTTCCCAGCAAGAAACTTACTAACGGCGTGTGACTTAAATAGGGTAAGGGAGTGGCCAATTATCCTCAAGCCTTACTCTCAAGGAGACCTCCTCCTCCTGAGTAGCCACTCCTGCCTTTTGGCAGCCCTGCGTGCTTGAGCATCGAGGAGAGGCTCCTCCACTTCGCTCTCTCCACTTGAAGGAGCCTCTGGAGGTTCTGGCACCACATCCTCTTCAACCTCCTCGCTGTCCGACGTGAGCGCCAGCTGCGCCGGCTGCTGGCGCAACCCCACACCAGCCTCCTCGTCATCAGGATCAGCCACGATCCACGCAGGCTGCTGGCGGGCCTCAACAAATATTAAAATTAATTTCATCTGTCTCCTCGTGTCTTCCTTCCCCCTGGTTTGTTTTAGGCCCAGCGAGAAATGAGGGTGCGTGTGTGAATTTTTCCTTACCTGGTCCAAGCACCGGCTTCGGATGTAGCGCATGGCCTGCTGAATGCTCTGGGGCAGGGGCTGTCCCGTCCTTTGGACACTGACAATCAAGGGGACTCCAAAGACCATCTTGCCCCTGTAGTTTGGGAGCTTGCTCCTCTTCATGAACTTGGGAACAGTCCTGTCAGAGAAGAGAGTGTGATTTAGGAGGCAAGATCTGGCTGGGGAATTCTGAGAGTTGAAGTCCAGGTCTTAAAATTGCCGCGATGTAGTGCTTAAAACATTTTCAATGCTATCTTTTTAAATTTATTGCCCATCTAAGCAACTTAGAACTAAGGAGAAATTTCCTGACAGTTAGAACAATTAATCAGTGGAACAACTTGCCACCAGAAGTTGTGGATGCTCCAACACTGGAAGTTTTTAAGTTTTTAAGAAGATGTTGGATAGCCATTTGTCTGAAGTGGTGTAGGGTTTCCTACCTAAGCATGGGGTTGGACTAGAAGACCTCCAAGGTCCCTTCCAACTCTGTTATTCTATTCTATAATTGGAATCATACTTATTTCAAATAATGACTAATGGAGCCCCAATTCTGCATAAATACGACCCCAGATGGGATACATTTTGCACGTAAGTCTTAAAATGAAATATATAGAACCCAGCTAAATAAATTGGTCAAAAACAAAATACGTTCATTTCTTTATTGAAAATTATCCAAAGCTACATATAGTATTTGTGTGTGGCAAAAGTACGTGAACCTTTGCTTTCAGTAACTAAAGTTTTCTGATAAATGTTAATCAGTCCTGCCCATTGGTGTGGAGAAATATTACCTCATTCCTTTTATTTATTTTATTTATTTATCAAATTTCTATGCCACCCATCTTAATTAAGGAAATGAGTCCTGGAGAAGTCCTATTTTGACAGGGCCACACAAGGTTGTCCATTTCCAGCTGGTGGAATAGAGAAATGATCGTCTCCAACCAAAAGAGAGCAGTTCTGGCGCTGTGTGGCGTTAACCCTTTGTGGTCAGAGTTTTCTTGCCCACGTGACATGCTCGCGGCTAGTGACTAGGCCCTCCATTTGGTGCCTCATGAGATCAGAGTTGAGTAATTCCCTGGGTCAAGATCTGAAAGAGTCAAATGACTTCTGTGCAACAACTGGACGATTGTGTGCTCCACTCTAAAAAGGACCCTGACCAACTGGAACCAGTTCAGAGAAGGGCAGCCAAAGTGGAAACCGCATTTTAGGAGGAGTTGTTAAAAGATCTGGGTCTGTTTAGTCTTCAAAAAGATAAGTGAGAGGAGAGTTTGTAGCAAATCTTTAGAATAAGGAGTGAATTGACTTGTATTTGCCCAGAGAACCAATAGTTGACACTATAGAGAAGTAGATTTACATATTACGAAGAGTATATTGACTATAAAAATCAATGGAATAGGTTGTTTCGTGAGATGCAGGGCTTCAAATCATAGCTGGATCTGTTTAAAATTGTTCAGTTAATCCTGTTTCAAGGAGGGAGTCAGACCAGAAGACCTCTGAGGTGCCTTCTAACTTGGCAATTCTATGAGCCACCTTGAACCACAGGCAGCCTCACACAGAAAAGAGAGCCCAAAATGTATGGAACAGAAGCCGCCCCACAGAAGGAGGACACGTCAATGCCATGGAGGTCCTGCTTTTCTTCTCCCCCCCTTTAGTTGCCCCTCAGCTCCTAAGGAGAGGCAACTGGTTGCTGAACCTCCCACTGTGGCCTGAATACCCTCCTGTGCTCATGGACTTACCAGGCCCAGGACTGCTTGTGTGGAACGGAGAACTTCTCCACGATGGCTGTGAGGCGGAGAAGGGAGCACTTCTGGAGGAGGCTGAGCTGAGCTGCTGACTGGCGGTTGATCTCTAAGGAGGCCGAATTTAAACTGGGCCGGTGGGAGTTCTGGAAACTGTGCCAGCGGAGTTTCCTGTGGTGGGACAAGAAGGAGAAAAGCAGTTGTTTGTTTATCTAATGAGCAGATACAGTATATTTGCTTAGCAATAGCACTTAGCAGTTGCACTTATATACCGCTCCACAGTGCTTTTACAGCCCTCTCTAAACAGTTTACAGAGTCAGCATCTTCTTGCCCCCAACAATCTGGGTCCTCATTTTACCCACCTCGGAAGGATGGAATGTTGAGCTGGTGAGAATCGAACTGCTGAACTGCTGGCAGCCGGCAGTCAGCAGAATTAGGCTACAATACTGCATTCTTGGTGATACAATGAAGGCAATACAATAAAGGAAATTGAAGGGCATGTTGAATGTGGTTGGTAGACATTCGGCAAGCTAAGCATAATTTTCAAGAACAACCTCCCCTTATGCCTGAAGAGAAAAGTTTTCAATCACTGGGTGCTACCTGCTCTAACATCTGCCAGTGGATATGGACACTAACCTCACAATCCATACAAAAGCTACGAGTGTCGCAAAGAGCCATGGAAAGAGACATGCTCGAGACGAGAGAGAAAGACCTGCACATGGATTAGAGAACAAACAGAAGTAGACGATGCCATCAAGAGAGTCAAAGAATTGAAATGGAAATGGGCTGGTCACAGAGCAAGAAGAACTGATGGCATGGTCATAGAATGGATCCCACTTGATCAAAAGCGTCCACGAAAGAGACCTAAAACAAGATGGATTGAGGACATCAGCAGGTACTGTGGGCCCAATTGGCAAAAGAAAATTCAGGACCGGAAGAACCCTAACCCTAACCTAACCCTACATCTACATGGAGTGAAGCATGCAGTGGGGGGACCCCGAAGTTCAATACTCTTCAACATCTTTGTATAGGATTTAGATGAGGGAATAGTAGGGGAACTCATCAAATTTGCAGATGCCACCAAGCTGGGGGGGGGGGAATTTTAGAAGACAGACTCAAGATTCCGATGGACCTTTATAGACTTGAGCATCGAGCCCTATCCAATAATATGGAGTTCAGTAGTGAGAAAAGTAAGGCCCTACCCATGGGCAGGAAAAACCAAATGCACAGGTATGGAATAGGTGCTACCTGGCTCAACAGATGTAAGAGTGAGCGGGATCTAGGAGTCCTGGTGGACAACCATTTAAATATGTGCCAGCAGCCTTGCTTTAGCTTAAGCAGGGGATTGGACTAGAAGACCTCCAAGGTCCCTTCAAACTCTGTTATTCTCTGATTCTATGAGCGAAAAACATAATAAAAGAAGAGCTGGAAGGCCGGTTACTAGAAGCAACCAGAAAGAATTAAAGTTTAGAATTAAAGGAGGAGACCCACTAACACAGAATGGAAAAAAATATTTTAATTCTGGAAGAATTCAAATGTCCCCAGAACCTACTCTTTAGATTTTCTGATGCAATAAAAAGGGCCTTACAAGAAGAAGGGGAACAGGATATTATTAGATATGTGGATTTAAAGTGTTAACTTATTCAAAATGTTTCTATTTGTCTCTTTTGAATTGTTTCTTTCTGTATTTCTTTTCTTTCTTTTCCTTTTTAATTTTTCCCCCTCTCCCAACCTATCACCAACATGGAGGTGTCTCTTCCTTGGTCCAGGAAACTTTTGTGTGGAGCGGAATGGGAGGGCTGGACCTGCTCTCCAAACGGCTCTTCCCACCCTCTGATTGGAAGAAAGCCCAGACGGAGGCCACCTTTCTGTCATCGCTATTGTACTGCCGTTGTAATCGCCATGGTAATTGCAACTCACTAGAGGGCACCAAACACCCAGCCTGAATTTTAATGCTTCCTCTGAAGGACGCATTTCCCTTTTTGCAGTTGCAATACACTGCTGGCTCAAATGGTGGTCTACTAGGATGCCTAGATCCCTCTCAGATGCTGCTGTTGAGCCAGGCACCACCAATTCTGTACCTCTGCATTTGGCTTTTCTTGCCTAAGTATCAAACCCGTGGTGGGTTCCGCTTACCTTCGCTACTGGTTCGCAAATGTGACCGTGCACACAGCACTTCTGCGCATGCACAGACAGTCCATTACGACATCCGGGTAGGTGGGCAGAGCCTCCCGCTGCCGCCGCTACCAAATCGTGCGAACCGGGGTGAACCGGTAGGAACCCACCACTGTATCAAACTTCTCTTTTCTCACCACGGAATTGCATTTTATTGGATAGGATCCAGTGCTCAAGTCTGTCAAGATCCTTCTGGATCTTTGGCCCTAAGTGTTGGCTATTCCTCACCAGCTTGATGTTGTCTGCAAGTTTGATGAGTATTCCTTCTATCTCCCACTTAAATCATTGATGAAGATGTTGAGAACTGTTGAGGACCTAAGAGAGAACCTTGAGGGACCCACTGCATGATTCCCTCCATGCAGATACAGCTCCATGTCTCTCAGATCGTGTCTTTCTGTGGAGAGCCAAAGTGGATATCGGAGCAGAAGGGCTCCCGAGAGAACTCTGTGTAATTTGTGGCTAGCCATAAGGAAGTGCTTGCCCAATACCACATGCTGGTCTATGCAAGGCTGGGTGGGGCTGGGAACTCATGTCGCCTTGCCCATCACGAGTAAATTAGGTAATTCACAGATCTGTGGGATGACTTGACATGGCCAGCTGGAATGGAAGCGGGTGATTTTGTCCTTAATGAAGAATTTCCACCCTGTAATGTCCTGGAGCAGAAGCCGGGACAGAGAGCTGGAAGGCGCCTTACTTGTCTTGTTCAGGATAAGCAGCCTCTGATTCGAGAGCCTAACATCCTGTGCCAGGCAGGAAGCAGCGCCTAAGGTCTCTTCTTGCACATCTGGTCCTGCCTGAGTGCAATTTTAAGACCAGAGCTTCTTGTTTTAAAATTAAATGCAATAAAAAATTAACTAGAAAGGAATAAAGGTGATGTGGCCAAGAATTCAAATCAGAAAGCCTGTCACTCAAATCTGACTTCCTTGTGGGCCAGGGATGCAAGGGGCAAGAACCCTTCTAGATGTCTTCTGCTGTCATTCATCTTGAATAATATGCCACAAGGAGGAGAAAAAAAATACTACAATAAGGGTAGCTGGAAGCACTCAGCCTCCTAGTACCTTTGCTATAACCTACTGATTAATTAAGCATTTGTTAAATTGCCAGATTTTTCTAGCTTGGTTTAGAAAACAAGTTAGGAAAAATATTATTTTTATAGGTGGAAAACAGCTATCAAATGAAAGGTGGTGAATTATTCTGCCTCTAAGAGGCTAGTAACCGTGTTCATTGTCCATTGCTCAACAGGTCCATTCCTGAACAGAATTAGAGGGAGAACTGGGATTAAATGGCAGGCTGACCCTCTCTGAAGGCATCGAGAAAGACTGCATCGGAGAACGCACAGCCTCCCTTGATCAAAGGGAGATGATGAGATCAACCACGTGCACTCTGGATGACCGTTCCTTGTGAATAAACTGCAGAAATGGAGTGCCTTAGTTGTAGGTGAAGAGAAGAGAAGTCAGGATCTAGTGGAGAGTGCAATTCAACCGTGGTTCTTGATTCCCTCCTCTTTCAACAATTGTAATGTGACTTCTGCATTTGGAAAGAAGAAACCTGGGCCACCGCCTTCTTCTTTACTTCTGAATGCCTGAGTGTCTTTTGCATCTGAAAACGTTAGCAAAAATTGCAGCCCCCAATGCAATCTGATGTCTAGAGCCACAAACTTCCCCTCCCCTACGTGGCAAAGCCTCCACAGCCAGCCAAAATTTGATTTTGAGCTATATTTTTAAAGTGAAAAGAGAGCAAGTTTTTAAGTCAATATTTGAGGAATAATCATATCACTATTTTTCATTTGGTTTTAACTGAATTAAAATGGGATCATACCCAGTTTAGTTATTGTCTTGGATCCTTTCTCCTTGGACCAGCCTGGGACAGTCCATTCAAAGTCCACTCCCAGTCTTGGATCCAGAAATGCCTTCCCTTTCCTAGTCTTAGGTCCCCACAAGCATCCCAACTCCAGCCTCAAATGCTGCCAATTACCCACTGGCATTGTGCAGTGGGTAAAGGTTGAGTTTAGGCTGGGAAGTGCCTTTGGTGCCATGGCAGCTATCACTCTCTTTCAGCACAGCCTACCTCACAGGGATGTTGCTGGAATAAAACTAGGAGGGACATTTATTCAAGATGCCTTCAGATAGGGACAAAGCTCTAATCCATCAATAAATAACTAAGCCCCATTGTAAATCATTTTTGTAAAATGATTTAAATCTCACAAAATTCTTAAAAGTCTAATTATTGATCTTTCATGACACTGAACTGTAGATAGTAGTTTTCATTTTACATGTAACGCTAAACGTATTGCCAACGTTCAACTTCACCCGAAAGAAATTTGCGGAATTTCTAATGGTATCGAAAACTACAATTTCTGTCCTGAGAACAGACAGTGTATCTTGCAAGAATTTACAGAACAAATTTTGGAGAGAAGAATGCTCCAAAAGACAGCACTGGGGCGTCTTCATCAACGGCCATCGAATGGGAGTGAGGAGCTTCGATCCCAATTCTGAACAGGGACAGGTAGACCAATCTGAAATTATTATTGCTCTTTATTAAATGCATAGGCTATACAATTCCATCATAACCCTGAGCAGCATTCAGATGGACTTTCCTAGAGACAGAAGAGGATCATGAGATTCCCAGTTACCCCAAAAAAGTTGCCTCTGGTCGAAACTCTTCCCACACTTACCTGCAAGGTCTTGTAAGCGATTCCCCCACGCCAGAGTCTCTGCGTTCCCTCATTTCGGGCTCCTCAGTCTCGTTCAGAGAGTTGGCCGTGCTCTCAAAGTCGCTGGTGGAGGTACCAATGTCAGACATGGAGTGGTTCTCCAAGTTCAGGTTGGTGGGCTCCTCTACGGAATCTGTTTCCTCCCTTTCCTCCACCCCAATAGTTTCATCCTCCATATCCAACTTCACTGCCTTTGACCAGAGCTCTATTTTTTGCTGGAGACCCCAAACATGATGCAGGATGTCATCTAGGTTTTCATAGATCATTTCCTGGTCCAGATCAAAGAGATCGTCTCCACTGCCAAAGTCAGGAACGTTATCGTAGAGGCTGGTGCGGCTATCTGTGGAAGTGCTTGAAGGCCTCCTTGGTCGGTGCTCCAGGGCATGAGAAGAGTTGACCGCATGGACACCACAGCTGATGCCAGTGCCACCTGCCAAAGGACTGGAGGCTTTGGGGGTCGATTTCCAGTCTGCCAAACAGCCACTCTCCAAGGGACACAAGCTTTCGATGGAGAGAGATTTGGGGAAAGTGCCTGGTTTGTAATCCCCTGGGATGTGGAATAAATAATCTCTTTTAAATGCGATTTGGTGATCCCACATTCTGGCATCCCATTTCTTGTTTGGACTCGTTTCATAATCCTCTAAATAAATACTACCATATTTGGGCTCACGTTGCAGCTTGCTTTTAACTGAGGCCAGAGCCTGGTTAGTCCGACTACCTGTTGAAATTGTCTTAGTGCTGTAGAAAGAACGTGGCTTTTCATTTCCTACTACAACCTGCGTCCCAGAGACAGGTTCCCCGGCATCCTTTGAGGAGTTCCAACCAGACATGAGGTGAGTTCTATCCCCATCTGGAGCTTTAGCGGAGTCCAATTTCTCCTTGTCTTTCTTTCTCAGAGATTCAAGTCTTTTGAGGAAACTCCGTGTCTGACGTTTCTTGGGTTTTTCTTTGCTGCTTTCATTTGGAGACTGGGCTGCTGGAGAATGGTTACTCAAGCTGTCAGGAGAGTTGGTTAAAGTTGGGGAGTTCTGAGTGGATAATGAATGGGGTGCCACAGCCACAAGACCTTGGGTGGTGGTGCTGCTCGTACTGTGGAGTGAAATGGCCTCCAAGTCAGCACTGAGGTCTGTGAGGACACTTTCCTGGCTGGAAAACTTCCTCATTGCGGCATCTCTCTGCAAGCTCTCTCCAAGATGTTCCTTTGAGTCAGTTTGGGACCACCTTCTGCGGTTTCTTTGGGAGGCCCATCGTTCACCAAGAGCACAGATGTCTTCATCATCCAAGTCTTCATTCTAGATCAAGCACAGAAATCAGAGTCATTGGACAACTGGGTGGGAAGAGGCTGGCTCTTAAAGAAACCGCGCGGCCTCTGTGCATAGTCAGAAGCATCGTTTTATGACCTCCGCTAGATGGGTGACAATTGATTCAAAGAACTAATCCCGAAGAATTGTACATTGGATTACCTCAGGGGTATCAAACTCAAGGCCCGCGGGCCGAATCCGGCTCAAGGGGTGCTTAGAACGGGCTTGCGGGGCCCAGAGTTGGGTTCTATTTTTTTTTTACTACCAGTTCTGTGGGCGTGGCTTATTTTGTGGGTGTGACTAGGTGGGCGTGGCCAACTTTTTTTTTTTTTTTTACTTTTAAAAGCATTTTTTCTGCAACCTTAAGAGGTTGCAGAAAACAATGCTTTGAAAAGCTTCTGCCGATCAGGCAACTCAGCTGGGATTGTCAGAGGATTTTTTTTTTACTTTTAAAAGCATTTTTTCAGCCAAAGAGGTTGTAGAAAAAATGCTTTTAAAAGTAAAACAAAAAAACAAAAAACCCTCTGATGAGGTGGGCGGGGTAAGCAAGCGGCGACCGGGCCGGGGACCGGTTTGGGGGCGTGACCAGCCAATGTTATTACCGGTTCTCAGAACTACTACAAATTTTTACTACCGGTTTTTGCGAACCGGTGCTAACTGGGATCTACCCACCACTGGCAGTGCTGCCCTGGAAACAGTGAAGGACAGGCCTGCGGTGCCTCTGCCAGCGAAAATGGGCTCCCAATCTCCGTTTTTGGCTGGGACGGCCTCCTGCAACCCTCTGCCAGCAAAAACGAAGCTTGGTGCGGCCCTCCCGAGCTCTGTTTTTGCTGGCAGAGGGTTGCAGGAGGCCGTCCCAGCCAAAAACGGAGATTGGGAGCCCGTTTTTGCTGGCAGAGCATTCAGGCCACCACAGGGACCCCTGACACGAGTGATGTCAAGCTGGCCACGTGTACTCTGGCCACGCCCACTGAGGTCAAACACAACCCTGATGCGGCCCTCAATGAAGTTGAGTTTGATACCCTTGGATTACCCATCCATCACTTACCATTCATTCAAACCCTAAGTGTGAGAGACCCTTCAGAGTAATTACCGAAAGTCCAACTAAATTGACGATGCTTTTGAAAGGGCAGAACACCTAATATTTTAATTATTTATATCCATTTTAGTTTTCTTTCCATAAAAGTGACCTCAAACCTTCTCGATCATGATTCAGAACAAAGACAGATGTTGGATGTTCAGGTACTTTTCCAGCAATGTGGAGACTCAGGTTACATTTTAATAACTACAAATTAAAAATACACGAATCTTGTGAGAATTTGGCAATCCTTGGATTGGGAGAGGTTTCTAGAAAGATGGTTGATCTCTGATTGTGCTTCACAAAGTCCCTTGCAATCCTGTTATTCTATGTTTTTACCCTAACCCTAACCTTTCTGTCTTTTTCTTTGATGGTTTTATTCTCGCTGGTTGCTCCTTTTTCTAGATAATTTTTAGGCTGACTGAACCAGCTTCTTTTGACTTGAGCATTTTTATGAATTCTTCGCCACACTTGCTGTATTTACATAACCATCTTTACCTGGATAGTTAAAGACCAAGCTAAATCATTCATTTGAATATTAAACTTGGTTAGCACTGACCTTAATTAGAGGGGCTTTGAGTCATGGTCCCCAGCACGTTTGTTTCAACATACTGTAGTGTGCAATCTCAGGAAATTGATTGATTCAGGTGAAATAAGTACAAAGTGTGTACAGGGAACTATATTTGTTAGTGAAAAGGCATGATGTAAGTTATCTAAGTAAATACAGCTTTAATTTCTGGGTCCACCACTCCCTCCAGGGCCTGTCTCCACTCCAGGGGTGGGTTCTAAATTTTTTTTACTACCGGTTCTGTGGGCATGGCTTATTTTGTAGGCGTGGTTTTATGGTCATGTGACAATTCTTTAGGATTTAGCAGAGGTACTGGTCTACCAGGCTTTTAAGTGCTTGCAGAGTTGTACCGGTCTACCCATTTGTTCTTGGAGGCACCGGTCTACCCATTTGTTTTTCGAGCGCACTGGTCTACCACCACACTGCCTTTTAACACTGATCAGCTGTAGGGCGGCCCTTTGAAGTCCCGCGGCAAGAGTTTAAACAGTTTTTTCGTTCTAGACAATCAGCTGGGACTCGGGAGGCAGCAAATAGATTGGGGGTGGGGCCAAATAAAAGGTAAGAATAACGCGGGGGGGGGGGGCAGCTCCCGAACAAAGAGAACCGGTTCGGTGACATCATATTGTCACCGCTACCGGCTTGGCCGAACCGGGCCAAACCGGGAGGAACCCATCACTGCTCCACTCCTGGATTTCTCTTTCCCAGGGTCTCAAGAACTGAGGCCTGGGACTCTCCAGCTGAACTCCCCAGGGGTTGCTCTAGGAAAGCGTCCGTGTCAGCTCAAAGGGCATCTGGACAGGACCCGGGGAAGGGGCAGCCAGGGGATGGTGGAAAGGGCCAGCCAGCGCGCTCCCCATCCCAACCCTTGCACCCCGCTTTACAGCTTACCTGTTTCTGCTGAAAGTGGACTTCCAGCTTCATCGAGTTCAGAGTCATGAGCCTCCTGCAAGCAAAGCAGAGATCCGTTTCACTCGGCTGTTCAGCCCCGGCGGCATTTGTGAGGTTGGTCATGCTATTTAAAAACAAGCAGCCCTTGTTTTAGGCCATTGTCACTTGACACGCAAACAGCTGGTGATCAAGGAAGCACGCAAGGCTCTACAACACACACAATCTCTCTCTCTCACACACACACTTGAGGAAAGCAGGCTCATCCCCATGAGGTGGGCTGGCTTCATGTACCTCCCCCCACAAGGAGATGCCAGCTCGTGGGCCTCTCACCCTCCAGAGCCAGAAGCTTCAAGCCACTCCTGGCGTCACTGCCGGGCCTTTTCATCTGGTGCCAGCAAAGGCTTTCTAAGCCCCAGATGCAGAGGAGGCTGCTGCCCTTCCCAGCCCCTCGGCTCAGCTGAAAGGCTCACTTGGACCGCAAGCCGTCTCTGTTTTCATGAGCAAAAGCCCCAGGACTTGGTAAAACCCTCTGCATCCAGGTCCACTGACCTGACCTTTATGATTTATATTTTAAATTATGGCCTCGCTTTTTGCTCTAATCAAATCCAATCAAAATCAATATTAACCTGGAATAAGAAAAAAAAGGCAATAAATGAGCGCAACAGGCGGAAAACAACAAATCAGAAAAAGCAGCCACCATCATTCCAATTATCATCGTTTTCCTCAAGGGGCAAAACTAATCCAACTTTCTAGAAAGTTTACAAAAGGAAGGAAAGGCTCAACAGTGGAGGCAGCACAAATAATTGGGAAATTGCATTAAATAGCATTAAATAGGGCCTTGGTAGTACAGTGGTCTAAAGCACCCTGTTATTAAGACCAGCTGCCTGCAATTACTGCAGGTTCGAATCTCGCCAGGCTCAAGGTTGACTCAGCCTTCCATCCTTTCTAAGGTAGGTAAATTGAGGACCCAGTTGTGGGGCAATAAGCTGACTTTGTATAAAAATATACAAAAGGATGAAGGCTATTGCTTAGCACATTGTAAGCCGCCCTGAGTCTCCAGAGAAGGGCGGCATATAAATCAAATTAAAAAAATAATAATAATTAAATAGCATTATTTGAATTAAGTTCTATGTTTAAATTTTAAATTGCCATATTTTTAAGATTAGTGATAAGATTTAAATTTGATAAAGTAATAATGGAATAAAGATTTAATGAGCATTACATGAAGTAATAAATAAATGTAAGGAAGTTTTAGAAATGGAAATAATTTTGGAATATAAACATGTTTGAACTGTATTGTTAATAGTGAGGATTTAGGGTAAGAATTGTGAAATGTACACTGCTCAAAAAACTAAAGGGAAGACAAGCAGAAGACATCTGAGATCTGAACGAATGAAATAGCCTCATTAAATACTTTGTTCTTTACATACAGTAGTTTTGTGTTCCCATTAGTTGTTTGAGCAGTGTATAAACTACTGTATGTAACAAACAAAGTATTTAATAAGGCTATTTCATTCATTCAGATCTCGGATGTCTTCTGCTTGTATTCCCTTTATTTTTTTTGAGCAGTATATTATGAGGTATTATTTGAATTAAGATTTAAGGTGGGTTAATAGAAGGGTAATTATATTGATTAAGTAAATATGAGTAAACTTTTTCTACAATGGTATTAGTTGAAATATGTGATTTAAGATTAAGAAATAAGTGTTATGGTAAAATAGAATATAATTTTTTTTGTTAAAAGTGACAAAAAATTGAACAAATTGATGACCTGATCAAACCTCTGTTCTGAAAAGATGTAATTTGTATGTTTGAAAAAAATAAAAAAAAAACCTTTTTGCAAAAAAAAAACCAAAAAAACAACAACAACAGTGGAGACAGCACGAAGGCTGGGCCAGAATCGAGGCCCTCCGCTGTAACCGAATGGACCACAAAGCCACTCTTGAAGTGAGCAGATTTTAGGCAAGTTGATTCAAAATTTGTTGCGATATAATGTGCTATATAATATATAGCACATTATATATGCGATATAATATATTGGGCTAACTTCAGAGTACAAACAAATAAACAGATAAACATAATGAGAGTTTTACTATCATATAAATGCAAGCATTTATGCTACAAAATCAACAGCACTTTTTGTGAACTTGCCACGAGAATGTCCACAACGCTGGAAAAATAGAGCGATGACCTGAGCGCTCTGGTACCAAAATGTCTGGCGCGTGGCCAGAGCTGGAAAGTGGCCTCACTGCATTCTGGTGGAGGGAAAGTTACAGCCTTCTCAAATTTACGATCCGAGTTTGTATCTTACACCAACAACTATAATTGTTTTATGCCAGATTAATTACGTTAATGGGAGGGAAGAATACTAAAGGGCTACTACTACTTGGTTTCATTCATTGTTGTTGTCTTCCTTCTTAGCCAGCTTGCTCTACCGTTCACGCTTACTGTGTTTTTGTTTAGAGTTCTTCTTTAAAGGAACCATCAGCAAATCTGCAACATACCACTGCTGAACCTCACCCTGGGAATAAGGAGACTCAGCAGACACCAATCTTACTACCAGAAATTTGATATCCCAAAGGTTCTCCCACCCAGAGTGGCATAAAGGATGGGGCCAAAGCATCTTTTCCCAGGAAAAGGGGCAGGTGGTCTGATCTTCGCACAGGCTGCTCTTTTTCATCAGATTGATGCTAAGTGGCTGAGCAATCTCTCAGTCCTGAGAATATCCATCTGGGAACGTATTTCTATGTTCCAGGGAAAGCCAGGAGAACCAGGAGTGATTTCCTCATTCCTTTTTCTTTGCAAATCTTTCAACAGGGCCTTCACCAAGCCAATTCTCTGCTCAGGGCACGAATCTAAACTAAAGCACCCCAGATAGATGGATGTCCTACCCCACCCACCCCCTCCCCACACACAAAAAGAACGCCACCGTTCTTTCTGAAGTCATGATGCTGCCTGCATTTTGGAAGGTGGAGAACAAGACCTAGTCATTGTCTCTGGAGAGCTTCCTCAGATATTGAAATGGGACAATTACAGCCTCAAGGTACACTACAAGATACACAAGTCTTTTGTTGCAAGACTTAATTACTAGTTTGCTTATCACCCTTGCAACCTTTTGTTGCATCTGTTCCAGTTTCTGGATCTTGTTACTCTGGTGCCCCCAACAGGACTCAGCACTTGAAAGTGGGGAGTCTACTTAGAGCAGAATAAAGAGCAGCAATTGCATCCTGTATTCGGGGAAACCTTCAACTGCATTGGCCTTGCCTGCAGCCCCACTGCACTACTGACACTCTGCTTGTGGTCAATTCCAATTCCAAGATCCTTTCTGGAAATATGATTGCTAGAAAGGGAATCCAGGATGCTACACCTGAATATTTGACCATTCACATTTATCTTTGACAAATTTCATTGATACTTTCACTCAAATTCTCTCTCGAAGGCACTTTGAAGTTTTCAATTCAATCTTTTTTATTTTTCATCTCATTTTTAAAACCACCCAACATCCCATAGAAAACAAGTCTGCATAAGCACAAACCTTTTGCCAAACGATCACGAAGGAAGGGTTTTCCTTGTCTGTCCCTAAATAGCCTGGAATATAACTATTAGTGGGTCTTGGCAAAGTAGAGCGCTGTTCATTTGGCTTTCAGACAACAATTCAGAGAAAGCAAAAGCAACATGCCATAGAAGCAGCAACAGAAGAAGGAAATTCAAGAAGAGAGACATTAGTTGTGTCCTTCGAACAGGATCTAGATCAGAAGTGGTAAAATTCCATGGTCAGACGGTGTGGTTTCTTTGTGCCGAAATTTGCTCCTTGGCTGCGACTGTCTGGCTCAGAGCAAGGAGTGAAGTTCCTGCAGCAGAAGCCAAGGCCTCCTTCCCGTTCTCTCTGGGCTGCAATGTGGGGCAGCGGGATAGAATTTCTTGAGGAAGCCAATAATCCAAATGGAAGCAAGAGGAAAATAAGAGGGTAGCAGGAAGGAGAGTCTTCCTGTGGATGCTACACTGCAGTGAAGCTAACGGAACATAGAACGTAGAATACAGAACATAGAATAATAGGGTTGGAAGGGATCTTGGGAGGTCTTCTAGTCCAACCCCCTGCCCAGGTCAGCAGATCCTACCATTCCAGACTTTCTTTGGGCTTGATGGGATGGAAACACATGATCATAGAAAGAAGAACAGAACAGAATAATAGAGTTGGAAGAGACCCCCTGAGGTTCTCCAATCCAACCTTCCACCCAAGCAGGATATTCTATACCATTTTAGACAAAGAGAGGCCCAGTCTCTTTCACTGGGCCATTAGTTGAGTCACTTTGTCAAAGAATGAAATAAGATTTATTTGACACGATTTTTTTTGACAAACCCATGTTGGCTTTTGGTTATAACTTGATTTGCTTGTAGATGTTCACAGTTCTGTTGCTTGATTATCTTTTCCAGGATTCTCCAGGTATTGATGTCAGGCTGATTGTCCATTTTCCCCTGTTTTTGAAGATAGGAATCAGCTCTTTTCCAGTCCTCTGGTAGGTTCCTGGGGCTCCAGGATCTTTGAAAGATATTATTTAATGGTTCCGAGTTCACATCTGCCAATTCCTTTAGGACTCTGGGATCTAATCCATCAAGTCCTGGAGGTTTGAACTGGTCTAGAGTGGATAGTGCTGTCTTACCAAGCAGGATTATGATTGGCCATGCAGTCAGCCAGGTGGTTACATTGGATCTGGCATTTTTGTCAACCTATCGAGCGCTTCCCAAAGACCTGGGATAAGCAAACGTTGTTTGACAGTGTTAAGAGGTATCATCAGGTATGGTTAAAGGCAGGATGCAAAGCTGTCTTTTGCAATTGATTTGTTGGTCTCTTGAGTACTCAGTATGCCTACTAGCTTCAGTGCATCTTCTTCATTGTCCTTCAGACACTCTTCCAATGTCCTTTTTTCTTCTTCAACTATATGACGTACTTGCAACATTCCATGCCCAGCCATTTTCCTTGCTAAATAGACTCTGTCAATGTCACTGTGGGGATGAAGGACATAATCCATTGTCATTATTTTTCTGATCTTCCTATCCAGGACTTTTAATGCTGCTTAGGTCCAGTCCATTATTCCAGCCACCTGGAATTGCCCAAGTGTTCATTGCCTTGATGGTATTTCCTCCACTGAGTTTGGACTTTACAATCTTCTTCGCTCTTATAATTTGTTCCAGAGGTGGGTTTCACATAATTGTACCACCAGTTCGCCGCACACCGAAAATGTGAGAGCGCACACATGCTCACTTGCTTCTCTTGAAGGGGGGGAGCCATTCTGCGCATGCACATGGTCTTCCGTGCATGCGCTTTGCTGGTGCACGCAGCTTGTTTGCACGCATGTGCGGGGCTTAGAAAATGTGGCTAAAGATGGCATAGCGCCAGGGTGGGTCCCACCTGCAGCTCACCACTACCAGTTCGCTCAAACCAGTCCGAACCGGCTGAATACCATATATTCCCAGCAGTGGGTTCGGAATTCGCTAATTCCGTGCTCATGGTGAATTGATAGAACATCACTACCAGAATAACCAGAAAGTACCAGGCAGGATATAACCCTTCTCTCAGCTCTGTGAAAGCTCATGACAAAACAGTTTCTTGGCATTTGCCGCAAAACAATCCAACCCCTGAGTGAAGTTAGGCTAGGAAGTAAATCCAACTGAGTTCCATATATCGTCCACAGGACTGCAGCTCACACTATTTTTCTTCTTTGTCTGAAGGGAGACACATAGGGAGCAGAAGCTGAATTGGAACCAGCCTTGAAAACATCAGACAAGTCTTGGTCCCCAGCTATTTTTTTTGGAAGTGCGTCCCATTCTTACGATGGCAGTGCCTGAGTTGCTGATATTTTGCACACACAAGTCACGGCCTAGCAGAGCTTTCCCTATCCATGTCCAGCCAGCTAAACTGCTGATTCCTGCGCCAGCCTGGAGCCCCCCTCAACTCTCAGAGAGACAGGATATGCCGGCATTCCTTAAACATCCTGTAAAATCTCAGGCCAGAGGATTGCCTGAAGGGAAAACTTCAGGAATGCAAAACAGCTGAGAGCAAGAGCCGTGGAAGTTTTGCAGAGCAGGTTAACCTCTGTGGAGTTTAGCAAGGGTGCTCGAGTTATGTCCCTAAGACGCAGAGCAAGGGAAGGAAGCAGGCACAGAACAGACAACGCCTTAGAATCATCACAACGCATTTCTTAGCAACAAAGCAGTGGCGAGGTAGATAAAAATCACTGAAGCAGAACTAGCAATTAAAAGCAGTTATTGAATGCATTGGTATTTCCAAATCTTTAAAGAATTGTTGCGAGACCTGAATGGAACTTAAGACTTTCCATTTCACATCCATACAGTATTTCCTTTTTCATTCCAGCCTCGAACTCCTACAATTAATAGAGGTTATGGAAGTAAAAGGAGATGGGTGTTTATCCGGACTGTGTGGAAGAGGAAGAATGCTAAGCTGGCTGAGGAATTCTGGGAGTTAAAGTCCACAAGTCTTAAAGTTGCCAAGCTCAGAGACCCCTGATCTAAGGGGCAAAGAAAGGTCATCTGGCTACTTTAATGACGGACATGACTGTTTTCTGCAAAGTGACCGACATGCCCACTGTGTGAAGAGCACTGACTCTCCCAAGAGACCCCTTATCCCCCTTGGGACCCCAGAAGGGCTTCCTACCTTCACGGAGTTGTGGATAGTGAGGGGATCCAGTGGCTGCCCCCATGCAGGACCTTCCTGAGCCTCGGAGTCTGAAAGAAAGCCAAGGAAGGGTGAGGGGACAATGCAGCAAAAGCCCCAAACTGTTTACAATTCTTTGCATCTGCCAAGGGTATCTCACGGAAAACAAGGGAAGGAGAGCAGGGCAAAAATAATGGTGTTAATTGCAGGTTAGCAAGCAAAGATTCAGTTGAATATCCTCTTGGCTACAGGCAGTCCTCGACTTATGACCATTCAAAGTTGCCACAGACCCCCACCCAAAAGCTACTTATGACCCAGTTTCAATGTGATGGCCATTGAGAGCCCCTGCAGTTGTACACCCATATGTCTGACTGTGGGGACCCTCCCCCCGGCCATCTCCCCCATCCCTCCCCCACTGGGTGCCCCCAGGTTCTGATTTGGAGCTGCTTCAAAAGGCCACAAACAGGAACCCCCTTCTCCAGGACAGCCCTTTCTCTTCCACATCAATTGAGCCACAGCAGCCCACAGGGCATCCAGAATGCCAGGATCATTGCAGTCCTAATCAGCCTTCTCAAGGCAAGGCCCTTCAAAAAGATCCTGCAAACAATAATCTGGACCAGGCCAGATGGACTAACTCAAAAGAGGCAATCAGTTCTCGCCACGGAATCTGCCTTCAAGCCAAGCCAGGGGGTGGGATGGAGGCAGGAGCCCTTATGGACTCAGGAACAGGGAAGTTCAAGAGACCGCCTGCTGCCCTGCGTCCTTTAGTGTGGCCTCCAAGGTGAAGTTCTCGCATTGGGCTCCAGAACTGCCGACTGTTTATAACTCTGGGATGAATCACTAGAAACAAGACCCCAAGACAGTGTTTCTCAACCTTGGAAGCTTGAAGATGGGTGGACTTCAACTCCCAGAATCTCCCAGAAATGTCTTTGGACCACACTGGTGCTCTCGGCTAAGAATTGGAGATAAGCACCATCCCTAGAGTCAGGCATGATTGGACTAGAGCAGTGTTTCTCAACCTAAGAAGCTTGAAGATGGGTGGACTTCAACTCCCAGAATCCCCCAGCCAGCGCTGGGTTGAAGTCCATCCATCTTCAAGCTTCCAAGGTTGAGAAACACTGCCCTAAAACAACATGGCTCTGCAGAACGCAACTCAACCCAAAGCAAATTAATTCACTCACTGGCCAAAGTTCAGCAGAAGAGAAACTTGGGGCAAGAGGGAGCAAAACAGGACCTTCAACTCTGCCTTGTTTAAAGCCATTCTGGAAGACCGAAAGTGTTTTGCCAGCCTCTTTTCTGTTGTGAATCTCAGGCCAACTGGGCCTGTTGCAGAGCCAGCCTCCGCGGATGGTTCAAAATCTGAACTCAAAGGAACAGCCTCTCCCGGCAACTTCACATGACAGCTACAAGGCAGCCCAGAGCCATTTCTGAAGGACCTATTTCACAACTATTTCCTCCCCTCCCCACCCCCCACAATTTGCTTGGAGACAGAAATACTCATTTAATACTAAGCCCTCATTGATTTTTCAGAAGGAACACCGGAGGCGTACTCTCTGGATCTGGGATACACAGTTAGCCTATATCAGGGGTGAAATGTTCCCGGTTAGGACCGGATCCAGTAGTGATGGAGGTGGGTGGTTCGGAGAACCACTAGCAAAAATCCCTGCCCCCCCCCCCATGCCCAGCTGAGCCACGCAATCATCAGAGGCTTTTTTTTTTTTAATTTTTAAAAGCATTTTTTCTACAACCTCTTCCGCCAAAAAAAATGCTTTTAAAAGTAAAAAAAAAAAAGCCTCTGATGATCGTGCGGCTCAGCTGGGATCGTCAAAGGCTTTTAAAAACATTTTTTCTACAACCTCTTCAGAGATTGTAGAAAAAATGGTTTTAAATGCCTCTGACGATGCAAGCTGAGTTGCCTGATCGGCAGAGGCTTTTAAAAGAAAAACAAAACCTCTGCTGATCAGGCAACTTAGCTGGGATCGTCAGAGCCCTTTTGAAAGCATTTTTTTACAACCTCTTCCCTGAAGAGGTTGTAGAAAAAATGGTTTTAAAAGTTAAAAAAAAAAAATTGGCCACCCCCACCGTCACATTACACCCCCCCACCAAGCCAGGCCCACAGAACCGGTAGTAACAAATTTTAGATTTCACCACTGGCCTGTACGATGTCTGACCTCAGCCCTCTTCCCAGCTCCGGATGCAAAAGAGTCTCCTGGCTGGAAAACAGAGTGGACTGTCCCCATCACTGAGTGGTCTTGGGGCAAATAAAAGCCATTAAAAAAAACACATTCCAAAAAGTCTGGTCCAGAGAATCCCACTGCTCTGAGACGCTCCAGCTCTCACAAGTAAAAGTCCAATTTCCCAGCGTAAAGACGGCATATCCTCCCCTGCAGAGCAGAGGGGAGACTCGGGCTCACCCCTCCGAAGGCAGGAAGCGGCTGCCGATATAAGCCCCTCGAGGCTCCACCATCCAGGCCCCT